ATTCGATAGTATAAAGAAAACGAGACTTTTTAGACCCAAGTATTTCCTTTTCACTGAGCTCCCCCCTCCCTCCTTTTTCCCCTGTCCAAAGCCTCTCATTCAATAGGTCCTAAATCTAGAATGAAGAGTCCGGACTCGTGTTGTTAACACAGTCAAAAAATAAATTGGGACACCTATTAAAGTATCTGATGCAATTATTTGATTGATAAAGTTTCTTAGGTCTATTGTTAGTACGATCCAGATTTTTTTTTCTTTTCTGTCGTATGAACAAGAACGAAAAATGCTATGTACTGGATTGTGGGATCCACTGCATGCCCTTCCCCCCCCCTCTCTCTCTCTCTCTCTCTCTCTCTCTCTCTCTCTCTCTCTCTCTCTTTCTCTCCATGCTCTCCCTCTTTCTCTCCAAAGTTCTTTGATCCTTCTTCGTTCAAAAAAAAAGAAGAAAAACAACCCACGAAACAAAAAACTGCGAGAACTTCTCTGCTCCGTCATCTCGTGGTGTGAACATTTCATCTATTTTCGATTTTCCCCTTTCCCTTTATCTTGACGGAGCTCTTTCCTAGTGCAGACTGAGTAGACATGCGTCTTTTTACAGTGATAGATATAACGCATGACTCCTCTCATGTATTCTCAGTAAACAAGCATAAACAAGCTCTTATACGGGGTGCTCACAACGGATGGGATCGGGCCGATCGCCCCACTCGGTCGCCTCAGAAACAAACGTGTGAGACAGCGTGGTGAAATGAGGTGCTCGTCAATATAATGAAATTGAAGAAACTTGCATTTTTCTGCCAGCTTGGCTATTTTTATGGAATTTTTGTTTTGAGGCTAAAAACCACTGTTGACCAATTAAGAACACATTTCTGGGTAGATTCTACTGAAAAATGTTGATTAAAAGCACAAAAAATGTAAGCTTTCCACGGACTCTAAAACTATGAAAATTACCAAACTATGGAGGCCATGTTCTACTTTTGAAACCAGGTGACCCCATCTTCTTCAATCTCAAATGTCTCGACTTCTATTCAAGATAGATGAGCATTTTTTTCCACCGATACCAAGACAAGTGAACAAGCTTTAAGATGATACCAATAACTCCACATGTCCAAAAATTGACGAGCGCCTGATTTCTCCACGTCGTGACACACGGGTTTGCTTTCAGTTTCAGACGACCGAGTCGAGCGATCGGTCCGATCCAGCCGTGGTGGGCACCCCGTATAAAATTTACCTGTTGTTGTTGTTGTTGTTGTTGTTGTTGTCGATCCAGCTCAAATTTACCTAAAAACAATTTAATGCGTTTCTTTCAAGATTTTTCTATTTCGTCCTTGGCGTGTGGAGCGTTGTCGGATTGAGGATATTGAGATATTGATAATGTTTTTCCAAGCTATCTGGGCAGCAACGGGTAGAAAGGGTTTGGAGGGGTGGGGGTGGTAAGAAGGGGGGAAACTACTGTCAGACCCTTGTAACCCCTTCTTATTGTGGAGCGTCTTAGATAAAATGTGGGGGCTCTCCTGGCCTAGAGGTTAAGGTGTTTGCCTCTCATTCAATAGGTCCCGGGTTCCAATCCGAATAGCGACGGCAATTTTTTTTCTCTATAATTTTCCCCTTTCGTCTCTTTTCGTGCTCTCTAGAAATGTTCTGTTGTCTGCTTTCGTCTCCACTTTCTGCCCCCCACCCCCTCACCTCCCTCACCTCACCTCCTGTACCCCCTTCTCTGGGCTCCTGACTCTTTCTGCAGCCTCTCTACAGCTACTCCTTGGCTCTTTCTTACTGCTGTCTTTTAGCCACACCCCTGATCTTATGGTAGGAAAGATCTTACAGCTAGCCCTCTCAGACAAGGGCGAAAAATCTCAGAGGTCCCGTGTGCAAGTTGCGCACGTTAAAGATCCCGTGGTGGTCCAAAATCGATCAGAGCAGGCTTTCGGTCGCCACCCGGGCAAAATTCAAAATTTCCTACCAACTGAAAATGTTTAATGTGTCCCGCGCGCTCATATGACCTTATGCAGTTGCGAGCGCCGTGAAACACCTACCATAAAAAAGGTAAAATTTGGAGTGAAAGAAGGAGGGGAGGGGGCGGGGAAGGAGAAAAAGAAAAGCACAACGAGACGCTGGCAACGAAATCAAAATATCAATGATCTTGACAGAAACGCATTAAACTGTATAAACTTGAGAGCTCACCTTGCGATGCTTGTTTACTGAGAATGCATTAGAATTCTGACGTAATTACTCCACATGCACCCCCTCCCCCTTCCCCCGATTTTCCCAATTTATAGGCTCTGTGAACTTGCACACACTGTCTGTCTTATCATAACGTCTGGTTCGCTTTCCTTTGTTTCACCAAACGGACAAAAACATAACTAATTAGCGAAATATTCGAGCTTGAAATAGACGTACGTGATAGCATGCTGGCTTACATGTGCACATGTGTTTCTCTTCCCCCCTCCTCCCCC